CCACTCCACGGTGTATGATGAATGGTGGCGGAGAACGCAGGTCACACCTCATATCCGCGATGGACACCCGAAGAAAAGGTACATGAATGTGTGTTGTGTTCTCCCTAGGCTCTGTATGAGCGACATCACGTAGTGCACGTCCACTGTCGTGTGTCAGTTTGTGCATGCTTGCTAAACTCGCTGCAAACAATACGCTAGTAGCCAAAGCTGACTGAATCATGGATGTGCACGGCCAACAAACAGGCTGCGCCAAACTTAGAGTTCCAGCTCCCGAACCTCTATCTTCACGCGCTGGCATTTGCTGCTGCTTGACAACAGTCTGGAATGCCCGAGAGTTTCAGGGGGCCTCCTGGACAAAATACCTCCTCCCCACAGAGGGCCCATTGTAAACTCACAGGGGCCCCTTATCAAATTGTTACACATATGATATCCCAGTAAATGAATGTTCACATTCAAAAAGTATAAAATGACTGCCTTCTAATTACCCAGAAAAAGTATTTTGTAACTAAAACAGGGTGTTCTGTTCCCGAAAAGGCCCTCCCAACGCGTGGAGCAGCCTCCTACGAACAGGGTGCTTACGATTCATAAAGGGGCCTCAGAACCAAGCCAAGGGAGCTCGCCATCCCAAAGCAGGACATTCTGATCCGGAACAGCGGCCATCTGATGCATGAAGGGAGGCACCCGTTCCAAAAATGGGGCCTACTGAGTATAGAGGAAGCCTCCTTAACCAGGGACCTCCTATCTCGTAACGAGGTCCCGCGAACAAACAAAGTGGCCCCTTAGCACAACATTGGGCCTTCTGAGCTAAAGCACTGGCTACCTTATTCATAAAGGTGACCTCAAGAGCCAGAAAACGTAGCAAATGTTATGTAGTAAAGGGTTTTTGAGGCTGATTAATGACTCTAGCTCGGCTATGTGGGCCACCTTGATCCGAATTTTGGTGCCTTACATGTAGGTAGAATGCCTCTTATGGCGAGAGGTGCACAAACCCGCCTACTTGCTTACAATGTGAGGGACATAACAACATGTGAAATGCTGTCCCTGTAAAACATGATTTTAATTTCTGCTCATCACCTTTAAGACGTATTAGATGGATTGAGGAGAAAAAGTCCCTCACAGCATGTCTTATAACCCGCAATTTATTCCAGCTACGACAACCCATTTCCACTGCTATCAGCTGTCAACTGATTGGCTGTCTCATGGATGTAACTGTCTTTGGGCTTCCTCTGAGCCGCCTACACGCGACAGCCCCTTGGATTTGTATTGGCTTACAAGACAGCGTGAAAGAAGAGATGCAGTGAATTCAGCGGACGTGTTTAAAACGCAGCGCACAAAACGTTTGAAAACCTAACCAACCAGCATGGCGAAACGTTTTGAGGCTTGTCATACCACGAACTTGCCGTGGGGCGTCGGTATCGCAGTGTGGTGTACGGGGGTGTCGGTTCAGCTTTGTCGATGGTAAAGCAAGTTTGAAGTCTGAAGCCGTGCGAGAAGGAGAATGGCTGCTCTATCACAGAGGTATGCACAACGTGGCTATGAAGGTTGCATGTTTCAAGGCAAACTTCGGAACTATAAACGGCATCATTTGTATGTTCACAAGGTGGAACCGTGACCCTACGAATGCTGCTTTTGGAGTTGGTGTCGGGCGCTCTTGGATGCGATGAACTGCTGGTAAGCCACGATATTAACCATTTTATGTTCAGTGACATACCAGAAAGCGGCGCTGGTCAGCACGATCTGTTGTGGCTGGGAGGCCTGACTAGACTTTTTGTGGTGCCCTGTTTGTTGTGCACACATGTGCAGATGTTTTACCGCCGAATAACTTGTGCCATCAATAATGTGGTGTATGGTGCTAATCAACATCATTATGTCGTGTATGCTATGCTTGACCGAAGCCAGCTAGCATTTCCAACCGCAGATGTGATTTAAGTTTAGAAAATGCCTTGGATTTGCAATGTGTCAATTCATTCCGCTGTGTTAGAGCTATTTCGTTATTGAGATCACAGATTGCATTGACAGATGCAATAGTAATGGACGGATGTGCATATAAAACTAGTTATGTCAGTTTTGGTGTCAATGCTTTGAAGAGAGTGTGCCCACTCTACTAAGGTCTTGTATTTGTCTTTTACACTTATATGGTTAGGTCGCTAAAATACACAACCACGCTGTTAACTGTTCTTTTTAAAAGTGATGGGAAAAGAGGCATGAGACCACGACAGTAAGTGATTACCGTTCGAATATTACATTAAATGGCACAAACAGTGATGAGCCAGATGGCTATCCGCGAGTATCTTGTGGTAGACGGGTATCTTGTGGTAGAACCCCCAAACTTTGGGGGCCAACAATGTTCTCTTGCCCCTCCCCTCTGTCTGCCGGCGCAGGGGAAAACAACTCCCCTTCCGGTCCCCCTGCTGCGCCGCTCCTGCTCCAGGTCACCGCGGTCGGTAGTCCGCCAAGGACTCCGGCCGCCGATCACGCTGCCATCTGGTGGGCGGAGCAGCAAGCGGGCTCGGCCCCGGCCGGATGTGATAACATCGGAGCTGAATGGGCGCCGGACGGGCCTAGACCGATTGAGCTGATCGCTCCCCGGGGAAGCTAGCGCCTGGGGTCTCTCAGAGCCTGGGCCGCCGTTTCAGGCAGGCATCATGGATGTTTAATGGCGGCGCAATTCACCTGGCTATCAGCAAATTAATTATCCGCACGACGCCCATTCGGGGAGATACACGAGCGTCGCTGGGCTTCAGATAAGCGGACGCGCCGCCCGCCCCTGGTGACGGTTCCGGGGCCCAGATGCGGCGAGCTCGATAATGCCGTCCGGAAGCTGTCTTGACCGGGGTCATGTTCTATTAACGCGTTGTTTCGTCAGTCTCGATCCGGTGCCGGGGTGAAAGCGTCTCGAAAAGCATTCAAGCTCGTCGCACCTAATTGACACCATCTGAAATGCGCTTACGTGATCTTTTTAAGCTTCGGAGCTGAAAGCTTCTCTCTCCTTAGAGCGATTCAACCGGCCCTCCTGGTGAGGGATATCTACTTACGCCACGTCCCTAGCATTACGATTCGACGTATTGAGTGACCCCAAAATTATCGAACTCAGTGCAAGATCAAAGCTACCGTGCGCATTATAGTGGAAACATCGCATGCCGTTGACAGATGCGTTTATTTTTCAAACACTCGCAGAATCGTGGTGGTGACATTGTACGTCACGCTCTGTCAAAAATATCGCCCCGTCGTTTGCTGCGGCAATGTCCGTCACCAGCCTCATGTCGGGCATTGTCGCAGCCGCTCCGACCCCAGCCTGGCGGCCGACAGCGCAACTCCACTGACCTCAGCTCCAACAACACCTGCGCCCCCCCCCCCCCCCCCTCCCGCCCCGCGTCCGAACATGACCCCGGGCGGCAGCGGTCGCGGCGGTCGCGTCGCCCGCCCGACCCCGCGACCCGCGGCGGGCTAAACTGCGACGACACCGCGGAGAGGGCTCAGGGGTAGGCTACAGACACGGCTAGTAACTGGACACTGCGGCGGCGCCGCGCTCGACGTGGCTGCACAAGGAAGGTAGTCAGTATTTACCTGTACACACCTGCAAGACGCCCAAACGGACCGTAATCATAGCACGCATCTATCTTTCATTGATACATCAATCACACATCCGGCTGCCGGGGCGGCCGTGATCAATTACTTTATGATGACAGAATGACTGCGGACATTAACAATCTGGCTTAGCGCGCCAGGCCACGCCTAGGACTTGACGCAGAGGATGCCTTCTCGTGCCGTTTAGGTTGGCGTATACCCTGTTAGAGCCGGTGTGAACATGGCGCGCCAGTCTGCTTGCCATGGGAATGTCACGTCGCAGCGTATGCGTCGATAGAGGATGGGCGGTGCGTCGGGCATGTCACTTTTCGTCGGCGTCGAGCAAACAACGCACGCTCCACAGCGGTAGCGTTTGTGTGGTATACTCGCACGTAATGGAACGACGAGAGAGAGGATGGGAGCAGACATTGGGTATATGCAGTGGAATACGACGCCAACACCGAACCTAAAGCACAAGGCTGTCTGTTTTAAGCGAAACGCTGGCCGTTTTCAGTCGCCGCTTTGCAACTTACTTCATGTGACGATGGCCATGCATTTATCAGTCTTCTCCGAAAATGCGATCAGTTACGTACACTATGCCCTTGTTTTCAGATGCTGACAACCCACACACATCCCCACTAGAGGTCTCCATGGACTGAATAAACTCCCGCGTTTAGAACAAGTCTGTATATCAGAATGGGCTGGATCGTAAAGCTGACAGTACCATTGATTAGGGCTGGATTCATTAAAATACCGGCCATCACAATACGACTTGAGCGAACGGAAGTGCCCGACGTCGATTGAAGGAGTCGTAAATGTGCCCATTTACGCTGAATGGAAGATTGCGCGCCGAGCCCGGCGCAACGCATTTTTGTTTTCCTGCGATGGCTTGGACCGAACCGGAGTTCGAATTTGTGATCAATAGAGATCGGTGAACGGGTGGACTGTATAAGTCTGGTACCTTCAGAATCTTATCCATGTAGAGCTCTAACCCAGGGAATAGTTTTGAATGAAATCAATGCATCCAGCACACATAAATAATTATGCAATCGGTAAAACGTAGCGTAATGTCTTGGGAGACTGCCAAAATCACAACTCGAGTCAGCGGATGAACATTTCCTCGTCGCGCCCCCTGTGTGCCTCACAAACGCCGGCGGGCGCCAACGCTGACTCCCTGGACGCTTCACTGATGCGAGTTCGTTGGGCGCGTCCGGCCTCCGGCCATCGCCGCCCACCGTCGGCCACCGGTGCGGCCTGGGCTCGGCCGGAGGCCCGGCCCGGCCCCCGCCGCCGGCCGCTCCGCGACGCCCGGCTCCGGTCGCTCTGCCGATCTGGCCAGGCGCGCCAGGGAGCGTGCGGCGCCAGCGCCACCCAGCCTCGGGACGCTGGCGCCGGGCGCCGCCGAGGCCGTCCATGCGCCGGCCGGCGACGCTCCTCCGGCGCCCCTCAGGTCGGGTCAGGCCATGGCTGCAACAGAACAGACGGTTGGTCAGAAGTTGCCATCGCACGTGACTCTCAGCAAGCCGCGGGCGCCGTCGACGTTCGGCTCGCCCCGCTATCGGGGGGGGGGGGGGGGGAGACGACGCCCCGCTAGTCCCAGTAGTTGGGGAGGCAGCAGTCGACGCTTGGTTCGTCCCACCGGGGGTGGGGAGGGAAGGGGAGGCAGCAGTCGACGCCCGGGTCGTCCCGCACGTCAGGGAGGCAGCAGGGCATCGCGCCGCCGGCTCCCGGCCCTCGTCTGTGACGGCGCCCGGAGGTACACCAGCGACCGCCGTGGGGCAGCGATAGGTCAACTGCCTTCCCAGGACCGACAGGTGTAATTAGTATGATCAGGTGCCTTCCGAACAGGTGCATATGTGATCCAGACAAATGATAGTTATGCATGCCTGGCCTTGAAAAATGCAGGCGTAGTCATATCGATACAAGACGAATTCTTCATTGTGTACTATTGGTACTCGGTTCACGCTGTGCAAGCTGATACCTTAATTCCACGCACTGATTGTTTTCACTAAACCAAGCCGATAGTTAAGCACCATTCTAGGCACAAAAAGACTCAAAATAAACAGACAGGCTTTCAGGCGCCCAGTTTGGGGAGATTACAAGTACATGGCTGTTCACGCCATGCGTATATATCGGTATACACATGTGTGGCATGTGTACGTCGTGGAATGCAAGGCACAACGCCATGCGTACGTATTGGTATGTACACAGTAGTTAGCACTGTCAAGATGCCTTTGTAAAGCATGCTATCTGTACAGCGTAGGGCTGTGAGCACCTGTAAGTCAAGTACACTGAATAAGCAAGTCATGTTGTCAACTTAAGATAAGTCTTCATGGTGCATTGAACATTTAACTCTAAGCCAACACGGCTTTGAAACATGCACTGCAGATGTAGACATTTGGGCATGTATTACATCCTCAGGTGCCGTGTACAATACGCGTTCACCTGTTCTTTAAAAACATCAAGTTGGAACTCGCATATACATATATATATATATATATATATATATATATATATATATATATATATATATATATATACACATATATATATACGCATATATTATATATATATATATGTATAACATATATGTTATATATAATATTATATATATATATATATATATATATATATATATATATATATATACATAAAACTACATGGTGTATGAACGAAAACGGCCAGCGCTCATTTCCCCATAAGCAGCTCGGAAATGCTTCAACCAGAAAGATAACCAATCATTCCGTGTCGTGCCCTGATGAAATGAAATAGCCCCCAACGACCAAAAACGGTAGTTGTGCTTTCAATTCATAGCTTTTGTCTCCGTTTTCGGTGACACGTTCTAGCTACTGCGCTAGAGTTTGATGGCGCATTTGCGACGACCGGCACGGCAATGCCCTGCCAGTCTTCGTTCCGGACTGGCTGTCGCCGAATGAAAGCCGTGTTCGCCGTTGATGGATGGGGCTTCGCGTGCAGCATCAACGCTCAGATCGTGACGCCGACGAGCTTTTCTATCGGTCCACCGCAGGGCAGGCAGAGTCAACCTTGGGCTGTCGGGGCTACCGGGTGGGCTCGGCTGGACTCTCGGGCACTGGATATGGGTTCTTCGGTGCCCATCGACCGTGTGAACGCAGCGCTCACTTGTATAATTCATATAATCCGTTTGTATAATTCACGCTACGCACGCGGTGTGAGCCTGCCACTGTCGGCGAATAAACAGGCGCGTGCTAATAGTCGGGCTCCATTAGCGAGGCTAATAACCCGTATGCGCCGGACGGTAGTCAACAACAGGCCATGGCCCTCACCCCCTTCGCGCAGCGGGCCGCGCCGCAACAAGCGAATGGGGCACGTGGCTGGTGCGCGGGGGAGGGGAGGGGAAGAGGGAGGGCGGCGCGGCGCCGACAGCGCTGCCCGGCACCTGGCCGCAGCGACACGCCCTTTACTTACACAGCGCCTGAAGGCGTGTTCACGGACATCGGCACAAAGGCGATGCTGGGCTGGTGTGGGAGTGTGTCAGAGTGGTCCGTAGCTTGTTTGGCCCGCCGTGGTCCGTTTTGTCAATGTATGAATTAGCCTTCCGACGGCATGCGAGTGATGCGAGTCAACAGTCACATTCAGGGTTGTTCAGTCCCAACTATCTAGCCTAGGTTCACGTGAGCTTCCCGTGACTGAAGCGTGCTTAGTTTTGAGTTTTTAGGAGGAGCCGCTGAGACGCCTTCGTAGGGCGAAGCTAGGGAAAAAATAACGCTTGTGGGCCGAGGGTTAAATAAGGGTAGGGGAATGAATTGTACTATTAAGTTTTCGTGTGCATGCTTAAGCTATCGTCTAGGCTACCGCGGGATCGTCTAGCTCTGAATTAGTATTGATATTATCAGTAAAAACCCGCGCACTGAGATAACACATACAAATAACTTATCACGCAGATCCTGCTAAGATTGGTGATTCTTCGCTCATGCCGAGAGCAGCAGCGTCAACAGAGCCACCTTCCGGTCCAGGCACCGCTTTAACAACGCAAGCACACCTTCCTGGTAGAGCATCGCGCGCCTGGTAAGCACCGCAAACATAGTGTGCATTATGAACCCCGCACAAACGCTGATACCCGCCTGAGCCGGACCAAGCACACTCATTTCCGGCGGTCTGTTGCCTAAGAGGCACAGCAATCAAGGATGCTAGGTATAATGGAACAAATGCAAAGTGGACCGCATCGCGCTGTGCACTAAGGTTTAAATGCTAAGTAGCATGCAGCTGAGAATAAATTTGTAGTTAATCCCATTAATAACCGACATCACCTAGCAGCTAGCTTTCTACGGTATTATATTTGCATGGCCTGAGGACTTCATGAGGTTTTCTGGAGAGGTGTACTGTCATAATTCACAGCGTGAATTTGTGACCGCTCCAGTGAACGCCAGCAGGTTTGTGATAAATGGGCAGTCATTCCCCGTTAACGGCAGAGTATGCATCACCCCTTGCGGAGTTAGCGATGGAGCCAGCTAGGTCTCAGCAAAGGGCGCTCGAGGCCTCGGTTGCAGTCAATTTCAGGTAAGCGGGGAGTTTCGGCTCCAGCACAAATCTTTCCTTCCGGTTATCGCTCCAGGCCCAGTACGCCCTCCTCGGCCTATGATTAGTTGATTCAAAACTTCCTCCTCGGTTCATGATTGGTTGATTCAACACCTTCTCCTCGGTTCATGATTGACTGATTCAGTACTTCCTCCTCGGTTCATGATTGCCTGATTCAGTACTTCCTCTTCGGTTCATGATTGGCTGATTCAGTACTTCCTTCTCGGTTCATAATTAGCTGATTCAGCACTTGCTCCTCGGTTTATGATTGACTGATTCAGTACTTCCTCCTCGGTTCATGATTGCCTGATTCAGTACTTCCTCCTCGGTTCATGATAGGTTGATTCTCAAGTGGGGCCAACGCGGAAAGATATCAACACTGAGCACTAGCTTTCATGTAGGATGACACGAACGAGCTTGTGAAATTGTGACTGATGATCATGTATGGTGATACGGACGCTCTATGATTACTGCAAGATCGCATAAGGCTGAGCCGGGCGGCAGATAGTTCGCAAGAATGGATAGCTTCTAGACGAAATTACGCAAGCCACATATCTGTTGACGGTTATGCCGTTCAGTGCCATGCATATCACTACCGATGCTTATCAAGACAATTTATCTCTTTAATCGCAGTTTAGCCTCAAGCAAACAACTTGTGACATTGCACCACGTGAATATCAGTCATGCTGTCGAGTAGTAAGCCCCAACACAAAGGACTGCTAAGGACCTTTATCCTGGCTGAGTTTCTGGTTACTACACTAATGATGCTTTATGCACAGCTTTGGGTGCATGCATATATATATATATATATATATATATATATATATATATATATATATATATGCAGGCTTGTGCTTTAGTCACCCTTAATATATATATATATATATATATATATATATATATATAAGGGTGACTAAAGCACAAGCGCCCAGCTGAGCCAGTGTCCAACGCTGTAATCAGCATGGAGACGTCATTCGTCACGAGCACTCGAATTTCCAAGAGAGCTCTCAGACATTGCCTCATGCTGCAAAACCACGCTCAACTTGTATGCATGCAAACTTTTTCGTGGCATTTTTCATTAACACCTTATGTATTAAGTGAGTAAAAACAGGAGAAAGCAGCCTCCCTGTGCAAAATAGATAGATCATGGTGCTACTCTCCCGGTCTTTTTATGGCCTCCAGATACACTTGGTCAGAAATATTGCTTACATCGATCACATTCAGTTAAACTTAGAACATGGACATACTCCAAAACAGCGAGCAGCCCACAATACTGTCGAGTTGAGAGATACCAAATCCAGGATCACATACAATATCCTTATCTCGTACTTTTGTCGTTCCGGATGTCAGCAAAAAAGTTTTAGGCACCAATGAAAATTCTATCACAAGAAAACGAATTATTGAGACATGCGTAATTTATTCAGCGTTTCGGCGTTTAAGAACGCATGCTCGAAACGTTGAGAAACAAGATTTTCCAACGTACAGCGCTTTAAAAAGCAAACAATGCGCATGAAAGTGGAGCATTGCTTCCATCGGTGACAGTTGTTTATCAGCAGCAAAAAGTCTGGAGTTCTGTTCCAAGAGACGAGACGGCGCAGATTTTCCACGATCCTAGACACGCTGTTTGACAGGCACTGTCGGCTCACCTCGTCAGGCGAGAGTTTCTTAGCGAACAGCTTTAATTTGATAAAATAGCGTCCTTTTGCAGAAACTGACTGACACCAAAGATGAGGCAGCGCCTAGATTTGATTGTGTAGACTAAAACCGTCACCTGTTGGACAAACAAGGCCTTTGGCTCATTGCTCCATGCGTGCTGTCAGCAAGAAGGGGCCTTGAGGACATCATTGTATATGCTTGAAACCCAGAAATTTGGAACCTGCGGGACACATGCGCGGCGGCCAAACACACGC